CCATTGCTAACGCCAGATTTTGTAGAGGTGTACTTATTTGCACTGGTTTATTTCATAAAGTTGAATTAAATGAAAAGTTTGTATTATATATTTCGTGTTAAATATCGACATTTATGGTGTGTTATGAATTTGTGTTGAAGTAAAATAGACGTATGGGGTTTTCTCAAGTACTTGTAGTAAAGTAAAATAGACATATGGGGTTTTCTCAAGTACTTGTAGTAAAGTAAAATAGACATATGGGGTTTTCTCAAGTACTTGTAATTACTACAAAACACAAATCTTACTCCAACTTGTACATTGAAATCATTATTTCATATGTCATACATGATGATAAAGTTTCTCATTAGAACCCCAAAAATCCACAACTAAACAGTAGATGATTAATTTGCGAAAAATAAAGAAGACAACATCCAATATTCCTATATTTCAATATTTCAGCACCTCCCTCCTGGATTATAAAACCACATGATCAGTTCGTTAGAATTGGAGAATCAATTAAACTATCTTGTGAAGCTAAGGGATTACCTTCACCCAGTATTACCTGGAAGAAAGAGGAAGGTAATATATATATATGTCAGAAATTAGAATTTCAGCATTATATTCACCATAAACTTCTGGCAGTTTAGATTTCTTAATCTTGTATTAATATCAAAAGGATGTAGGAGAAAAATGTACTTTGTTTTTATTCTTAATGTTCTTGCGAGAGTAAAAATAGATCTATGAAATAGTTCAAATATTTCCTTTCAGTATGTTATTTTAATGAGATATCATAATTTCTGAAGCCCAGTATTAACATTAAATTTTTCAGCATTTAAGGCTGTAAAAACAGTACTGTGTTACATATTTCTCTACCAGAATCAAAATATATCAAACATTATAATTGTATTCAAAATAGTTTTACTACTTATTTCAACTTAATAAGTATTAACAAGAAATACATTTCCTAACTTTAAAGTTTGTTGTATAATACCTTAAATAATGACTGTTTTTCATCCACTGAACAGAAATGAGCGGGAAGTTCGTGGAACTTGCCCTAAAAGACCACCACCAACTTAAAGAATGGTCATTAATTATCCCAAAATCAACAGTTGAAGATCAAGGTCGATACCGTTGTGAAGCTAGTAATGGCGTGGGAAAGAAACTGATTGCTTCGGTTTCTGTTTTAATTTCGGGTAATCTGTTCATTATCAATGCTACAACATCTTATGATATGATGATTCAGGCCCAAATGAAACTGTAGATATGCATACAGATATTCATCAATATATATAAAGTTCGTCTTAACCAACGACTTCACAACAATATAAGCAATAGGCATTATATTTGAAGTGAGGTTTTTGTGCTTTCTTTTCCTTACAATTTTATGATAATGAGCTTATTGTTTGTGAATAAAGTTGTCAAATAACCTAATTCTAATCCATCCTATATCTGTTCCAAAGAAAGTCTGCAACTGACAAAAACTCACTTAGTAAGATAAACAACTTACTGAAGTTGTTTAAATATTCTTATTTTTCAAAAATACTAATGTGAATTGTTTAAAGTTATAAAAATGAATATACAAGTTAATGATACTTAATTCTTAATGTAATTACTGCACTTTTTTGAATACTTAAACACAGGATATTAAGTACATAAGTTATTTCGTGTAAAACACCCTGTTAATAGTTTTAACATAAATAATATTGTGAATTAATATGTAAGTTTGTTTAGTTTTATTGTTCTTTGCTAATTACAGGGTAAATGCATACTTAATCATATATTATATTTTTTGCGATATTTTATAGTTCATTAGTTTACCACTAGAGTGTGTTGGAGGATTGATTATAAAGTACAGTGATGCCTCGAATATCGCCATATTATATGATGTAAATCTGCTTCTTCTTATTTCTGTCTCAGAAAAAAATTAAATGCTTTCAGTTCTACATTTCATACATCAGCAATTTTACCTATTTCGTTTCTCGTCTCGAATTTTATCATTTACAAGAACTGCCTTCGTAAAAAGTTTTCTATCAAATATCTATCATCTTTGAAGAACAATGAAAGATGGCGGGAGAAAAGATGTGGATTACCTTGTTCCATTCACTCTGTGCCATTTCATTTGTTGCCGCATATAACAGTAAGTACAACCATTTTGGTTATTACAATGCAAGTATCTATGTAACACTAAGTAAAATTGTAAACCATAACGAATTAGATTTTGACCGAGGAAAGGAGAAAATTTATTAGGTAATGATTATCAGAACTTTTTAAGTGTAAGTTTTCATAGCGAATTTTTTAAAATTCCATTCAAATATTTCCATTTTTGGTATGGTCTTAGAGAAAAAACTGAAATAATTCAATATGACTACACTATATTTCTCCATAGGTTCTCCTCAGATTCAACCTATTGTTTTTCCTGATGAAGTACTTGAAGGAGAAAGACTAAAAATAGGATGTATTTTGACTAAAGGTGGTCCTCCGCTGACCTTTTCATGGACCAAAGAGGGAAAAGAATTGAGAAATTCATCGCTAATAACAATTGGATCTGAACTGGAATATTCATTTTTGATCATGGCAAAAGTGTCAAGAGAACATGCCGGAAACTACACTTGTTCAGTTCGGAACGACCACGGTGTTGATCGTTATACTGCTGAGTTAATAGTGAAAGGTTTGTACATTTTAAGTTACTATATCGTTCTTTGGTTAGAAATAATTTAGTATATATATATCCAAAATATTAACAGCAACAATAAACTTGCTAAACTTTTCAGTAGTGCCTCTTAGGCAGAACGTATAAGTACGATATGAATTATATAATGATAAAACAGTTAAAAGGTAGAAAGAAAGAAAAATCCACCATGTTCTAAAATTATTTAACACTTATATAAAAGTCCAAATTGAACATAGTAATAAACTTGCTCATCAAAAGTACAAACACTATAACGATGAATGTTCGTATTTTCCCTGTAAAAAGTTATAATTTTAATATTTATTATTTACATATTTTTCATTACACTTTCGGGATTTTTCTCCATTTAATTTTAACAGTGAATAGAAGTTAGTTTCAATAGTGTTGTGTTTATTATCTTCAAAGCCCCTCCTGAATGGAAAATCCGACCACAAGATACTACTGTTTCGATAGGACAAACGATTAGTATAAGTTGTGACGTAGAAGGATATCCTCAGCCACGGATTCTTTGGAAGAAAGGTAAGAACCTTTATGTAATATTTTATGCCTTCATATCAATTTTAAGTCTATAGAATTGTTGTGGACGACGATTAGGTATATGCTGATACCTAAATATGAATACAGGTTAATAAGTGTATGTAATCGTAAATTGAATTCTCTAACATAACGCAGATATAAATATATGGCTTTTGGTTTTCCTTTTACACTTTTACACACATTTAAGACAATTTAATCTTTTTTTACTTTGGTTGTTTTCATTCCTCATTGCATTAGCGAGCATACGTACAATTATAGTTATGTTATTACATCTGTGATTTTAGGTAAGTGTTAAGGAAATGCTTTATTTCTGAAGTCCCCTGTACATTAAACTTAAAAAACCATTTTGGTAATTACAAGCAACCTGTAGAGAGAGTATGTTGTATTTCGTATATTGCTAATCTACGCCAGATGTCGTTAACAACACGAATTTCTGATTTCTTTGGAAGTATAGATCATGTATAAATGAAGATAGTTTTATTTTACAGAGCTATTGTTTAATGCAATAAATAGTGTGACGGTAATCAAACGAAACGTGTTCAATAATGCTAAATAACAGGCAATGGAATAATTCTCATTTCAGAATCGCAGGAAATAGACAAGAAATATCTACAACAGAACAGACTGTTCATTTCAAAAACAACACTGGATGATGACGGTTTCTATGTTTGTTCTGCAGAAAATGGCGTTGGTTATGGTATCAGTGAAAAAATAAAAGTAACTGTACTTGGTAAGGTCGACAACAGCAACTCTGTCAGCTCACTTGTGCTTACAGAAGACATATTTATTTTAGAATGGTTATTAAAGCTGTTTTCAGAAAGTGTTTACTATCTTATTTCTTTTCATTAAGAACACCACAATACAATAAACAATTAAGAAACATTAAAACATCAAGCACACATTGTCAAGTGATTCTATACAGAACAACATGTTTGTAAAGTATGTCATGCTAAAATGTGACCCCCTCTGTATCATCACTTCATGTTTAGCAGAACATAATATTTGTAACTAATGTTATGTTAAAATATGACCCCCAGCTGTATTGTCATTTCATGTTTAGCAGAACAAAATATTTGTAAGAGATGTCATGTTAAAATGTGATCCCCCCAGCTGTATCGGTACTTCATGTTTAACAGAGCAACATGTTTGTAAGGGATGTTATGTTAAAATATGACCTCTAGCTGTATTGTCACTCCATTTTCACAGTTATTTTATACTTTCGGGTTAATTTCAAAAACTTGTTTTTACGTAACCTAAAATATGTTACTTTACACGGATTTATAGAATCCAACTGAGCTAAGTCTCATCAAAACTTGTATTTAGTAAAAATATGTCTCTTCAGTAGAAGATGATACTAGAACTAAACATTAAACGCGTTTTTATTAAAATCATGTAGAACGTGGATGCGTTAAGCTCAAAGTGGCTAATAATAACTTGGTAAGTATCTTTCTAAAGTAATATCCGTTATTCATGAAAAACTAGCATTTTAGTTTTGAATTGAAGTAATTTTATTATTGGCAATAATTTTAAAGTTGCTGAAATATTCTACTTGTTTAAGCAAGTTTTATGTTCAACTCTGTATTTGTTTTCCAAAATTGGAAAGAGAAATCAGTTGATGAATAGACTTTTACAGAATAATGATTAGTTGAAACTAATTTCGTGTATAAAACCCTGAAGATAAAGTTGAAATTCTCAGAGTTTCTATTGTTTAAATTTTATAGAAACCATTAGTTTTCTTCTTAGTGATGAAATATTATTATGTATCTCATATTTATCTAATAAGTTGTTTCTGTAGTTCCAGCTAGATTTGAAGAAAAATTCAGTGTTGAAACAGTACGAAGAGGCGAAACGGCTTCTTTAAAATGCGAAGCTATCGGTGACCTGCCTCTTGAGGTCACATGGGCAAAGGATAAACGAAATTTGGAAATTAAGGAACTTGACAGGTAAAATTTAACGTTTTGTGCTGGAAAATGTCTTGGACCTTCTTGAAATGAATTTAAATTATTGAGTAAATATTTATTAACATTAACTTTTTGTAGTATGGAAGTTCAAGATTATAAATTATTTCGTAATTTAAATTGTCTCGTTTATACTTATGTTATTTCAGCTCAGTTGTATATGATGATGTGAAAACTGATATAACATCCATCTATACAATCTACATTAAAACACGCTGTTCGGCTTATCATAATTTGTTATATTTTACTTTAATAATTATGTATCATAATGCCAGTAACAAGACACACCATATAACAGATATTGTTAAATCGCATTAAAAACGAAACAATAAAACCTTAGCACTTTCAAAAGTGGATCTGTCTTCATCAGGTCTTTGAAGATAGGTTCATCTGTCGAAAGCTCTAGGGTTTTATTGTATTTTTTATTATACATATCGTGACATTAATACAACACTAATAACGAAAAATGTGTCAACCCCGTTTATTTTTAATGTGTTAGGAAATTTATTCGGTTGACAAAACTTCAAACAATAACCAACATCACGATGTACTATAACACATTTTTCAAGACAACATTAAAGTGACATCTATATTTTTATATAACTTTTATAGGTATGAAAGGTTTGAGACAACAGTAGAGAAAGGCCTAACTTCTGAATTAATGATTCGATCTACTGACAGAAATGACGGTGCCTTGTACACATGTTTTGCTAAGAACGATTATGGCTTGGACGAAAAAAATATCAAATTGGTAATTGTAGGTGAGTTTGTTAATGTTAATGATCAAACATATACATATTTGTTTTAACTTTTATTAGTGCATTTCTATTATCAAAAAAATACTATTATGGAAACACATGAAAAGTGTATTATAAGATAAAAATAGCTGTAAACGAAGTAAGACATTTCGGCTATCATTTATTGTTTTACTTTTCGCGTTTATATCCATTTTTTAATATTTTTTTATTATTATACTATCCGATTTCCTTAATTTTTAACATTGTGGTAAAATAAGTGGATTTACAAATGTGTTCTACTTAATAATACTTTATTAATACTACTGTAATTCCTAAATTTTTTGAATTCTTAGCATAGCTACCCTAAAGATTTTTCCTAATAAAAACTATTTTCTGTTGATACTTTGTGAGCCAAATTATAGGCGCTTCATTATTTATTTTTGAACTTGTTTTTCTAAACTATTTTCTAAACGTTCTAATTCTCTTGCTGTTAAAGATGTTATAGGAGGAGATACATGGCCGAATAACTGCCATATTTATTCAAAAAATTATCATTTTTATTTCCAGAAATAATCAAAACACATCTTCTTAAACATATTTCCTTTTTTAACTATCAATTACTAGCTGGAGTACCCGTCTGTTGGACGTACGAAATAAAAACTCATTTGTAACAACGGATAGGAAATTGTGCTTCTATTTTTTTTTTCTTAACATAATAATCATGAAAAATACATAAAGATACCATTACTAAAAAGAAAGACGTACAGTTTTCAAGAATTCTATCAACATGAAATTAGATGAGGGGGTTCAACCCCCCCTTATAACCTTCATCATGTCATCCTGTATCGCTGTGTCAGTATGTGCTAATTTGGTAGTTTTTCCGAAATTATATGGGGAGTAATCCCCACCCCACACAGACTCATAACATTCCTCATGTCATCCTGTATCACTGTGTCAAGTTTGGTGCTGATTGATCAAGAAATGTGGAAACGTATAAGGAACAGATACACACACTCACATATTGACATTTATTTATATAGCTTACATATTGGGATACTATTTTCAAGTTTATTCTATTTTTAATTATAAAAGATATATATATTTTTTTTTTACAATTGAATTTGTAGTTGAGTAAAAATAAAACTGAGTGTATGGAAGTGGTTGTATTTTTCGTTCGCTGATATTTTTCTCAAAATTTTATTTTGACATACATATTCTACATTTGAGACTTTAAGTATTCTTACCTTATTTTACAACTGTGCCTTTTTATCGGTGTATCTGGTATCAAATGATTCTTTTATAATTGATTATAAGTTAACGTTTTCTAATTAAGTCCAACATATGTACAAATACACTAAACAATCAAAAGAAATGTTATTACATTTAATTTTGATCTCTTTGTTTGGGAATAAAATTATTACATTTGTTTTTGTAATAGATTTTAAGTAATAAGCATTGTTAGAATGTTGTGCCTTTTTAGTGTCGGAATATTAATCCATGTTGGACTCGTAGGTGATTCGCGTCGATTACCGTATCATTAGTATACATATTAATAATAATAATGCTATTTTTATGAAACAACCGCATTTTATTTGGGTATGAAGCACTTGTTATTTTGAAATGCCTTTGTATGCTCTTGTTATAACTCAGTTGTTTTAAATTTCGTTATAGAGGTTCCTGCCAGACCTTTGGATGTCCGAGTGCAGGAAGTCTGGAGTAGAAGTGCCACCATCTCTTGGTCTGTCCCCTACAGTGGAAACAGTCCAATCACCAAGTTTATTGTGCAGTATTGGCAAGAAAAGGGTGAGTCTACTCATATTCTATATCTCCTTACATTTTACTCACATTAAAACTATAGAGTATTTGTCCTGTAGTTTCTGTTTTTCATTAAATGAAAAATAACAACAAGATGACAATGCTGATTATAATATAGTGAAGATTTTTGATCATATGCTAGTTTTATTATTATTTAGTTATATAGAGCTTGTGTGAAACGCATTGCAGCTTATGTGTTTGAGTGTGTGTGTGTACGAAAGATTAATGTAAGTTTAATTCTAATGCACCAAAAAATGTACGATGAAAGTTGATTTTAGATTACAACTATTGGTTCTTGATTTTTATACTGTAGCTAATGGTAACAAGTATTTGTTGACATGTAATTATTAGTTGCATAAATAAACTCAGTAAAAATTATATACTGATGAATTAAAACGATCTGTAGACGCAATGAACGATAAAAGTGGAGACGAGAAATAGTCAGACATTTGGAAAACATATGATTATTCACTAGTTGATTAAGATTCGAGTGTTTGTCGGAGTTTGCATTACTTAACTTAACTTCGAAGTAATTTATTTTTCTTAACTCCAACATTTTAACATCTTGACTAACTCTCGGACAACGTAACCGATTGTAGGTTATAAATAAACTAAAATTAACGTTATTCACACACTTTCGAACGTGAATGACATTGCATTGTTGCAGAAAATGGACAACGATTGTTGGAACAGACAATACCAAGTAGCCAGACTTCAGTTCTTCTTAAGTCTTTGCATCCTGGATCTCCTTATGCTGTCACAGTGGTTGCTGAGAACGAGGTTGGACAAGGAATGCCTTCACAAACTATACAGTTTGTTACAGGAGAAGAAGGTTTGTTTTTTTTATTCTGTTCGAAACACGAAAAAACGTTTCAGAAGGTTTGTTTTTATTTTGTTCCAAACACGGAAAAACGTTTCAGAAGGTTTGTTTTTATTTTGTTCGAAACACGGAAAAACATTTTGGAAGATTTGTTTTTATTTTGTTCAAAACACGGAAAAACGTTTCAGAGTTTCTATTTTTAAAACAAAAACTGAAACTTTGCTGTGTAATGTGCATATGTTCACTTAATCAATAACACAAGTTCCAGAAAAGCAAAATTCTCAATATCAAAATAACCAATTATGTTTTTAAGATTGGCCTTATTCTGGTATCTTCAGTTTAAGACTTATTAATTAATCTTTAGTAAGACGAATAACAGTGCTAAATGAAATTACAATCAACATCAGAGGTTTCGATACCGTCATACCCTTCATGTACAGTAATTTGTCGTGAAATTACTTTCACATCACTGTTTTAATCCACTTTCTTTAGCTGTTGATCATCAGGATTTAACAGTTGTAGAGTGCTCATTGGAAAACAAATTGCTAGATAATATAGAATAATTCAAATGATAAAACGTATTACACAACTTACATATTCACGCAAAGTGACCTAGACAACTTAATTGACAGTGTTATTATCAAGTATTTCTGAAAACTTAGATGAACTTAGGCATAAGGGAATCTGTTTGTTTATATATATATAGCTCCTTGTATCTCCTTAATTAAGTTCATTCAGTCTCAGAGGTTCAATGTTTTTGAATTATCTAGACCAGAAGTGAACCTCTAAATAATGCACTTTGTCTCTGAAAAAATACGTCAATTTCCATAATATCTGCCTGTTCTTACGTTTCTTAAGATATATTACTTAAAGAGTCTTCATTTAAATGAAATTATGATTTCATATTATACAGTATATGGTAATTTGTGATAATTTATTTGAAAGCATAGGTTAAAAAAAATTGAAATACCACGTAAGCGTTAATATTTATGTATCATACATAATTTCGTATTTTTATATATAAAATAAAAAATACTCATGGATGTTTCTGTAAACATTTTCCAGCACCAGTTAGTCCTCCTACTGATGTACAGGTTAAGCCGAAGGGATCTTCCTCACTCCTTGTAACGTGGAAGGTAAGAACGAAGATAAACGTTGTTATATCTGCAGCAAATACATTCATGTTTAATGTTTCTGAAATGTAATATCTGAGCACTTATGTTACAAAAAGATGTTTTCTCATGATAAAAGTATTAAATGAATAGACAGTAGCCTGGTTTTACCTCAAGTTGATTTATTTATTGCAAGCTTACAGTCCTTTTATTGTAATAATCGCAGGCTAATATAAAACTAAACTTAGATATTTATACTCAAAACTCAAATGGAACAATGTATAAATTCTACGTTTCGGTACAACTCAAACGGAACAATGTATAAATTCTACGTTTCGGTACAACTCAAATGGAACAATTTATAAATTCTACATTTCGTTACAACTCAAATGGAACAATGTACAAATTCTACGTTTCGTTACTGTTGCACTATTTGTATTGCCTGTACATTCGTTTAAATTTATTTTTAACTTATCTTGACGAAAACTAAAGTATAATAGCCAAAAGCGCGTATTAAAAAAAGTTGAGTTTGATAAATAGTTATATCGGATTACTTAAAAGGAAATCACGGCAGACAGGCAATATAGAGCAGCTTAGCTTCTTACATCTTGTTTTTATTAACAAACTGTTATTTCTGATGTTGTCTATGGATTTTAAAGATTAGTTTTGCTTTTTGAGTGCAGAATAGGTATTATGATTTCTGAGTTCTGAATTTTTCGCTGACAGTTATCTAAAACATGAGATTTTACATGATGTTTGTTTAAGCAAATACTGTTTACTCCATGATATCTGGTCAGTGTGGTAAGTTAATAAAAGCTTTTCCATGGCTCACCGATAAGTATGCGGACTTATAATGATAATAAACCGGCTTTCAATACCAGTGGTTGGCACAACAGTATAGTGTAACATTGTGCTAACAAGAAATATACAAAAATTATAAAATAAAAATAATTAATTCCATTTCGGCTTCGGATAGCATTTTAGTAACGTTAATACATTTCAAGAATCGGTCTGTACGTTGTGGATATTTTTGTATGATTTAATTATTTTCAAGCCTCCACCGAAAGAACTGTGGAATGGAGAGCTGAGGGGTTATTACATAGACTACAAGGTTAACAGTTCCCCTACATCTTACTTATTCAAGACCGTCGAGTCATCGTCAAACGACAGCTACGAGTACATTCTCAGTCCTTTGATGAAAGCTACACGGTACAGCGTAGTAGTGAAAGCCTACAATGGTGCAGGAACTGGTCCTCCATCTGAGGAGATAACAGTCAAAACCCTAGAGGGAGGTATGTGAAAAGTCTGCAAAAGTGTTCGTATTATTAACACTTTCTTGTTAACATATTCACTTTAAAGCTGTTATCAGAGTGTTTTTTTTTTAATGTTGTAACTGTTTCTAGAAATATTTTCCAATTAAAATGACTTCTTGCAAAACGAAAAGCTGCAAGAACTTTACTAAAATGTAAACCATGATAACGATACTGTCATTTTGATTAACAAAATTCCTGTTATTTCATGGCTAATATACATGTATACAACATTCATGGCTAATATACATGTATACAACATTCATGGCTAATATAGAGGTATACAACATTCATGGCTAATATACATGTATACAACATTCATGGCTAATATACAGGTATACAACATTCATGGCTAATATACATGTATACAACATTCATGGCTAATATACAGGTATACAACATTCATGGCTAATATACATGTATACAACATTCATGGCTAATATACATGTATACAACATTTTAGAGGATGAAAATCATAATTTTATGTGATAATTAGTGATTAGTCTTTGAAATGTTCAGCAATACATGTAGATTAACATCAAAAATCGTTATAAATACCATAATCATATCAATTTTTTCATAGTTTTGCTGCCAGTTCCTGTAACTGTGTTTTTATGAAACATTATAACTAAAAACGAGTCCTTGTTACACTTTAGACTCAATAAAGTGAACAAGTAAGTATTCATTATATAGAGCTTATGCGTCAAAGAATCATCAAAATTACTCTAAACAACCAACTTCAGGCAAAACACACAAAAGGCACATCTTAGATTTATATTGTGAAGGAAGGTTCAAACTATGTGATTTGGTAGCGCAACTTAAATATTTCTTGGAGACGCTTTACAAATGACGCTTTACATATGATATGCATAACGTCAGGCGTTAAAGTCACGCCATGTGCTCTCACGGATGTTTATAGCATTTCAGATCACGTGCATAAAACCGTGACGTCAGATTGAAATCGATGTCATCTGTGAATGCAACACAAGGGCGTGGCGTTGTTCTATTGATCTTAGTATGGCAAATTTGAAAATAAGTTATTAGACAATAAATTAAGTGAACTCCACATAAGTCAACATTACTGAGTGGTAATGCTGTGTCGGTTTCGAAATCTCTTTCAGGAAAACTGGAAATTCGATCACTGTATAAAATCTATACTAAGAACTATAAACTTTCAAGTTTATAGGAATTGTTTCTTCTACAAGATCATTATTTTCTGGTAACTGAAATATAATTAAGAATATTGTTGCACATTTTTATAAATATAATTAACTATATTTGTGTAATTACGAGAAAACTCGGGAACTATATTTCCTTGCTCGGTAATGCCGACCGACATGATCGATTACTTGGGTTCACTTGTTCGACACAGAACCGGTTTGTACTCGAAATGTCATCGAATTAACTGCTCGTCTGCAAAAATACATGCTAATATGCAGTATATTTTCAATAAAGACTATTGTAATTAAAAATTGCATAGTTACGTGTATAAATAATTAGTTGTAAGTAATACTCATAGAACATTTGTGTTAATACAAATTGTTCTAGGTATCTGATATAATTCTGTTTTCTTTCTTTTCTTTTTACTTTAAAGTAAATATGTATTACTTGAACCTTTATCTAAATACCATAAACCTCTATTATTGTTTTGAGTGCCTTGTTCGACCAGGAAGCCTATACGCACCTTCGCACGTGCCAGACACGAACACCACGCGACATAAATTGAGTAGGATCTTCCATTCAGTATTAGAGGGTAGTACGTCAAATTCAAACAGCGCTCTAAGCCTAAATATTGGGTGAAGAATATCCTGTGTATCTTGTTTGTACCTTATATGGATATGGTTTTAAAACAGACTAGAAAGATCACCGAGTTATGAGGTCTTTGTTATTATTATTATATAAAAAATGTATTAAAGAAGTAAGTTGGGTGGAGTTTTTCAAAAACACCTACATCTTCTGATTTCGACAAATTTCAGATTAACAAAGTAGGCAAACTGAAATTATAAAATTCATGTGGAAATTTAGAGACATAAAGTCCTATAAATTGAGGGAAGACTGTTTGGCAATCAATATGTATATATTTATAAATTTTACCTGCGTTTGTGAGGACGTTTTCAATATATATTGTAAACACATGTGCACATATAAATATGTACAAGCATAAGTGATATACGAGACATACATACATACATACAGCATGATATACGAGTATTATATATATATATATACATACAAGTATGATAAACGAGTATTATATACATACATACAAGTATGATATACGAGTATTATATACATACATACATACATACATACAAGTATGATATACGAGTATTATATACATACATACAGGCATGATATAAGAGTAATATATACATACATACATACAAGTATAGGTGATATATGAGTGATATACACACGTAGAAGCATAAGTGATAAGTTCTCTATCGATGAGCGATGACTGAAGTACACGAGTTAATGCCGTTAGATATACCAACTTCATACTGTTAACTATATCAAGTTCATACCATTAAATGAATGAAACTCATACTATTAGATATACCAACTTAATACTGTTAACTATATCAAGTTCATACCATTAAATGAATGAAACTCATACTATTAGATATACCAACTTAATACTGTTATATATATATCAAGTTCATACCATTAAATGAATAAAGCTCACACTGTTAGATAAACCAACTTCATACTGTTAACTATACCAAGTTCATACCATTAAATGAATGAAACTCATACTATTAGATATACCAACTTAATACTGTTAACTATATCAAGTTCATACCATTAAATGAATGAAACTCATACTATTATATATACCAACTTCATACTATGAACTATACCAAGTTTATATCATTAAATGAATAAAGTTCACACTGTTAGATAAATCAACTTCATACTGTTAACTATACCAAAGATGTTATTTTCTTCAGGTAACTGTTATTCTTCAGTATCAACTTATCTAAATAGTATTTTGGTTTTGGTGACAATAACTCACTCTTAGATCACATACTGTGCAATTGTTTTAATCATTCCAATTCGCAGTTATTAAAAACAAATGTGCATTCGTAAAGAAACATGTAACTCTTCTTTTTTTTATTCTTCAGACTTACCTTTACCTCCACCAGTGGAATTAGTATCTAATTCTGATTCTGCCATCAGTCTAAAGTGGGGTAAAAGTCCGTCTCATAATATTCCTGTCACAGGTATGTCTGCATTAGTCCAAGCATAGTCAGTTAAATCTATGTATATCACAGGTATTTCTGCATTAGTCCAAGCATAGTCAGTTAAATCTATGTATATCACAGGTATTTCTGCATTAGTCCAAGCATAGTCAGTTAAATCTATGTATATCACAGGTATTTCTGCATTAGTCCAAGCATAGTCAGTTAAATCTATATATATATTTAGTCGTATATTTTATTTTTTGTTTTGGAAGAGAAATAACAGAAATTTCAATTTAATTTAACACAATTACCAGTGTAGTACACTGTTCTAGTATTATCTAAACTCGGTAAAAAGTAATGTTTAGCAACCACTATGTACATTTCTTCAGCGAAGAAAATATCAGTATATATAAACACACACATATTTGTTTATTACCATACTTCTGGAACTGAGGTACTTCTATGAAGTTTGAACTGAAAGCAATAAAGAACAAAGATTACAGAATAAAATTTCATCTTGAAAATTGTGATATGAAGTTTGAAATTTATTAAAACAATCTCAAAATAACATATTTGTAAAATAACTGAGAGAACTGACTTTCGAGATTATTTCATTTTAAAACTTTAAATCACCATCAATATATTTTATTCTAATAGTTTATGGTTGTAACTATAACATAAACATTCGTTGTGTATAGGGTATACTCTGCACTACAAGAAAAAGAACTCGGGGGAATGGAACTATGTTCATGTTGTGGCCTCTGATAATAATATGTATACAATAAAAGACCTGGAGAGTGGGGCCACCTATCAACTCTACCTTACAGCTGTAAATCAGTTTGGGAGAGGAAATCCTAGTGATTACTTGAGCATCACTACGAACCCGAAAGGTAAGAATATATATAATGTTTATGCAGTAGATGCTATGTTCATTGATTTGCAGTAATTTCTTAGCGTATAATAGCTGGTAAATACCTTTATGAATGTACTGTAGTGAGAATTATTTAATAAGAACTCCAGTGATTATTATGGGTGTATTACATTACTGGTTCAGAATGTTTTGAAATTATTCTACCGAATGTTATAGCGTTAATATTCTCAAGTTGTGTAACTATTCCTCTCACGTGTGATTGTGTAATAATGAAATTTTTATCCGTTGGTGTTAAGTAAAAAACAAAAAAAATATTTAGAACATTTTAAAATTCCATATAAAAATGATTTATAAATTATGTATTGGTGCTTTTTACAGGCATTGGAATTGGCTTGCCATTTTATCTCAACCTAGCTATAGTAGTACCTGTCACAGCTTCGGTGGTTGCATTCGTTGTCGTTCTCGTCGTCATAGTCATTTTTGTGAAGAAAACAAAAGCGAGAAAAGCGCTGGAAAGAGATTTAAGTGAGGATATACATTAGTTCTGTTGTCATAATAGAAAAATATTAGAAATAAAAAAAAACGTTGTATATTATGTTGAATACAACCATTATAGTAAGTTAGAAATTTCATAAAAATGTTTGTATCTGTAACAATATTTGTGGTGTACACAAAATATCGTTCATTAGGATTCATCCATTAGTCACACATCGTTCATTAGGATTCATCCATTAGTCACACATCGTTCATTTGGATTCATTTATTAGTTACACATCGTTCATTAGGATTCATCTATTAGTTACACATCGTTCATTAGGATTCATCTATTAGTTACACATCGTTCATTAGGATTCATCTATTAGTTACACATCGTTCATTAGGATTCATCTATTAGTTACACATCGTTCATTAGGATTCATCTATTAGTCACACATATACGGTTTTTAATTTTTATTGTACACATCAGCTTTTTCACCTTCTGATAATAAATTGTTCAAATGACATTAATTTTCAGCTTCATTGCAAAGTGGGAAGGTTGTGACTTATGCTCCAGGCTCACAAAGGTATATAGATATGGAGAAGGCTAGACGTGTAAGTAATCCAGAACCTGGGACACCAGCTGCCGCTAGCATCGCTTCTTATGCCTCTATTCCTTCCAGGGACTTGGAACTTCGAGTAGACGATCCTCGCCAGGAACTTAAATCTTTTCTACCTCCTCAGGTATATATTCTTGTCAACGGTCTAACAAAATAAATCTGCTTTTACAGTTGGTTTCTTTAGGATAAATGTCGAACACCAACGTTTCTAGTACGCTTAAATATCTTGGTAACTTATATAAAACTATCTGATGGTTCATTATTGAAATATCTTCCTTTCTTATCAAATGTTTCTTCCTTTCTGCCTTCATAAAAACCTTGCTTCAGGTTTCTCCCGCTGTTAGGCAGGAAGAGCATTTATTTCTCCTTCCTTCTACTCATTAGACGAAAAATATATAATTTGGTAATGGTAGATGAACTTACTAAAATTAATTCGGAGAACTTATAAATAACACATATGCCAATTTCTAAGCTTTTGTTAATACTCTATCAAAAAATACAGAATGTTACCAAACTAAGATTATTTTACTTTTTTTTTAGACATAATGACATTAAGTGTTCTAAGGACATTTAGGCATAATTATTGTAGTCACATAAACTTTTAGATATTATAGCTTCGTTCAGCTGAACTTTCATTATGCTAATAATATTGTTTTCACGTTTAGTTGTTGCATTTTAATGCTTGAAGTTATCTCTGTGGGTGATTATACAGAAAGAACATTCACAGTGAACCTACGCTCTTTTTCATATTACAACGAACAGAATCACTCGAATATCACTAAATAAACTAACTTGTTCGAGAATGTATATCTATCAACATATTGGATAAAAAAGGAGTTTGTATGCTATTTGTATAGCGTAGTTAAATATTACATATTTTATCAAGTTAATTACCAGACCAAAGGTAAATGATTATTGTTGAGAAACCGTAATGGAAAGGTGGAGCAGAATTAGTCACTTGTGACTTGAACAGAGGATTAACTCTCAGCTGTTTTTAAATAGTATGCAAGCTCATGAAATGTATTATCTTTCTCACCCAGATGAGAGATCGACCACTTCCTCATCCGAAACCATCGTCTTTGAAGAAAAGAGGTGATTCCCATCTCTATGACAGAGCAGACTGACACGTTTAGATTTCAAGCTTGCTAGAAATGGTGTGTGCAAAAAGTTGTGTTCATCTTCTCACAACGTTACTTAAAAGACTTAATAATAGCGCCTGTTATGCAAAAATAACGGGAAGTCAGTGACTTGAAACCTTACTTATTGAGAGATTTAACACTTTAACGTTTTGTACTAAGTTCTTTTTTCATTAAGATGGTGCTTTGTTGAATGTATTAGCTGACATTCAGATATCTACTTATGAAGTATGGTTAAGTATGTAACTTAGTGTTGTAACAATGTTGAGCAAATCTCTGACAAGAGGAGATTTTTATATGTTAATCAGATTTTTATGACACTGTAGTTAAGTGGTGGAAATGTTGGGAGTCGCGAACGAGAACAAACAATGGATATTTATAAAGTTCGCGTACATGAAACAATAAACTGCTCTCACCGCTATTAAAGTTGTAAAGTTAAACAGCTGTTTTATGGTTATGCTAGTTACGAATCTAAATTATCTCTAAGGTACTTCACTACAATATCATGTGGTAAACGTTTACTTAAACATATCCCTAATTAAGTAACAGCTTTTTTGTTTTATAATGAAGTTCAGACATCATAAGTAGTTGTGAACATCATATAATATGCACACTCACACAGAATGTTATTGCTACAAGAAATGTTCATTGTTGAGATTATGGAGGAATAACTCCTTGTATTCTGGCTTCATTCTGTTGCTCTGTGGTTAAACGAAATTAAGATATGTTGCATGGCTGAATGATTAGTGAAAGTATTGTCTTTCCGACTTATAACCATATTTGGTTTTAGTACAAGTGATGAGCATTGAATTGTATTATTGTAATATCCTTGTGTTATTTTTTTTTGTCAGCTATTACTAATCTTTATACACGTGATTTTATCTGTACCTTGTCTGCATTTTCTGTTACAAAAAAGTGATAAGATTCCCATGAACAGGGTACAGTAATTCTGATTTTAATTGTTTGGTGCCTTCCCTGTTGCTTTGTTTGATTTGTGAGTATTTGTTTTATCCTGTATTATATCATGTTCCTGTAGTTTGGTTTGTGAGCATTTGTTTTATCCTGTATTACATCATGTTCCTGTAGTTTGATTTGTGAGTGTTTGTTTCATCCTGTATTACATCATGTTCCTGTAGTTTGATTTGTGAGTGTTTGTTTCATCCTGTATTACATCATGTTCCTGTAGTTTGATTTGTGAGTATTTGTTTTATCCTGTATTACATCATGTTCCTGTAGTTTGATTTGTGAGTATTTGTTTTATCCTGTATTACATCATGTTCCTGTAGTTTGATTTGTGAGTATTTGTTTTATCCTATATTACATCATGTTCCTCTAGTTTGATTTGTGAATATTTGTTTTATCCTGTATTACATCATGTTCCTGTAGTTTGATTTGTGAGTATTTGTTTTATCCTGTATTACATCATTTACCCATGCAATATTTTTATGTGGTTCTTTTGTGTGTCATATTGTAGAATCTTTTAACACATTACGTGATTAGTATGTAAGATAAGAATCAGAGACGCTTAAAACATGAAACGAAGTTGCATTTTACAAACTTAACTAGAACTGTAGAAAACTTTAAGTTTTCCCCCCCTTCTGTACCAGGATTGTGGGTGTTACTTGGTCAGTGTTTTGTAGCATGAACGATATAATATGCATATAACGATGTAATTTTAGTTTTTAATTTTATTTTCAGTAAGGTAGCAAGACACGTAGTTAGAGTAAAATGTCACTCTTCTCATGCTCTAGCTGTACACTTGATATTGTGTATAGAGGTGTGCCTTTTTTAGACAGTATTGCCAAGGCTTAATTGATGTAACGGTTACTTTTGTAATGCATTTTATTCTTTTTCACAGATAGTAAACCAGCAAGAGGGTCCTGCATAATTGTATTTTTTTTTTAAAAACATTGAGTAATTTGACTTTAGTTTAATGTGTATTTATTACATCTGTTTTATGCCAGAGAAATGTCAATTATTAATGATTAATATTTATGATAATAACTGGTTGTATTCATACAAAAAATACTACTTTATGATATTTTGAAAAAAAACAAGTTTTGAAATTATTGTTAACATTATTACATAGCCATAATTTTTCGATTAAAGTTTTCAACAAACTATTCTTCGTATCGAAATTATGGTTTTTGTTTGTCTTTTTGCTACTTTTTACGACTACTCAACTTTACTTATTTATTTATTTATCTTTTTAGTGATCATATCACATTTACAAGTACGATATTTCTTTCTTATTCTAGTCTTTGTTCATAATTTTCTTGTATTTTGCCAAGTGTTTTTCTTTCGTCCAGATTATGGTGTGTGCGTATGTATGTGTGATCGAACAGAATTTGTTTTTTGTAAATACCGTAGATTATCGTTGTAGCATTTCTGTGAAACTTATAAGAATGCAGATGTCTGAAGTCACTGTCGTTTCATATACGATAATAAAGCATAGCTGATAACATTATGTCGTGAGTGATTTATTTGAATAAAAACTGCAGCTGTTGAAATGAAACTATTCTCAGCTTAATAATAACAGTTTCACAAAATATATTTCTCTAAGACAATATAATATGTACATAAAATTAAAGATCGAACTTTAATTTCTTTTTATACGAACATGTTTCTTTAATTGACAGTTATGTGTCATATTTTTCAACAGTTAATATTCAATCCAGAAATAAATATACAGGGACTTCTTCACCACCTTATAATTCTTTTATATTCTTGAATATTGAAGAATATTTATTTCTAATACCATTACATAGAGAAATAAATTGAGTCTAAATATAAGATCCACACATATACAAAATGATTATTATAAAACAATACATTTTTGTATATACACTTTACTTTAGTAACATATTTGTTAGGCCACTATTAAAGTTATCTAAAGGGATTTAGAAGTGTTACAAATATAACTTAATAATACCAGCACTATACAACAACAACAGCAAAAACAAATCAAAAAACAATGTTAATCTAATCGTGCTAATATTCTAAACCATATCTGTAGCTCCGTGGATTCTTAGTATTTGGTAAATTCCAGCAACAATAAAAATATCTTAAAGGAATACCAAGAGCTACTCACAGAGAATAAAATAAGTCATGCCCATAAAGCATAACCATTGCTAAGCCTTACAATAAGACTTAATTGTTTTTTGTCATGTTTATATAGATGTATTGTACATGTGTTTCAACGTTATTAGTAAAGAAAAACATGTGATACTTTATCAATGAAACTGTATTGACTGATGTAGTTAAGATGTACACAGCGTGGTCACAAGTAAATAGACACCACCTTTTCAGAAAAAAAATTACACTTTCA